GCAGGCCGACCACCAGCTGGCCCAGCCCAAGGGAGGGAAGGCACCCACCGGAAAAGGGGGGGAAAATGGCGGACAAAAAAAATGGCGGACAGCCTTGCTTGGCGACCCCCATGAAATGGTCGATCGACCCCAAACGGGGTCCCGACCCCAAATGGGGTCCCGACCCACAGGTTGAGAACCACTGGGCTAGAGATAAGGGGTGTCAAACTCAATTTCATTGAGGGCCGCATCAGCATCTTTGTTGCCATTGGGAGACCGGGTGGGTGTGGCTGGCATGGGTTTGGCCTACTGGGTGGGCGTGGCCAGCTCCATGTCACCCATGTCAGGGGCACCTGTGGGGGCCTGGGCAGGAATGAGGCGCATCCGAGGGTGGGGAAGGGTGGGTGGGACAGGGGGCGAGCGCCAGGGCATGGTCCAGTGGAGGAGCCTCACTGAGCCTCAGGCTGTGCACGGGGCCTCTGGACAGTGGCATGGATTGCCCAGAGCCCTGGGCAGCAGAGGTCAAGTGCCCAGCCCGGCCCTTGAGCTCCCACAGCCCTGCCTAGCCTAGCTGCACGTCCCCGAGGGGGCGCCCAGCTGCACCTACCTCCTCCTCAGTGCTGCTGCTGCTATGCTCACTCTCCTTGGACAGGTTGCTCATGGTGGGTGCAGGAGGACAAAGTGCGTGGGTCACAGGGAGGCTCACTCCCTCTCCATGCGAGGAAACCTGGCTTTGTAACCAAAGCATCCTCAGCAATAGGATGGGAGACCACCAGGGGATGGCAAAAGAACAACAGGGCTGCTGGTGGCCAAGTGCTAAAGCAGGACTTTCCTCAGTCCCACCCTCACTCCCTCCTCTCCTTTCTTTGTTTCTTTCTTTCTCTTTCCTTCTTTCCTTCTTTCCTTACTTCCTCCCTCCCTCCTCTCCTTTCTTTCTTTCCTTCCTTTCCTTCCTTCCTTCTCTTTCCTTCTTTCCTTCCTCTCTCCCTCCCCTTCTTCCCTGCCTCCCTCCTTTTCATTCCTATCTCCTTCCTTCCCTTCCTTTTTTCCTGTTTCCCTCCATTCCTTCCTTCCTTCCTTCTCTCTGTGCCCAGGAAGGGACGAGGAGA